TTGGCAGAAAAAGGGTTCCCCACCCTGATGGTCCATAAACTGAATTAGAAATTTGGGCTCATTCTGTCTCTTCCACAAGACTCTCAGCTGCATAATTGCGGAGACTTCGTTTTAGTAACCCTTATATACCCAATACACAGCAAAGCAGCAGGTGCTTAATAACAATTTAATCAATTATTAAATTTTTGACTCATTCTTTCCTCATGCTCTTATAATCCATTTGGTCAGCAAATTTTGCAAGTCTAATGCAAAAGCCTTGCTGAAACGCATTGTCCTTTGTCCATTTCTACTCTCTCTGCCATGGACTTTTCATTTCTCTGTCCCTTATGTTTTCTCATGGCAGTCCATCCTCCACATTGCCACAAGGGTTATCTTTTCAAAGCAAGTCTGACCATGTCATTCCACCAATGAGAATAGTACTCCTGTTGGCCTTCCTCACTATTTAACCTGGTTCCTGAGCCCAGAGTCCAGCTTCTCACCATTTTTCATTTCTCCATATAAACCTTATGTTCTACCCAATTGGACTTGCTTCCGTTTCTTAAACACAGTGCTCACTCTTCCAGCTCCCATTGATTTGCTCATGCTATTCTCTGCCTGGAATGCCCTTCCACTCTCTTTGTCTCATTAAAGGGTAACTCAACATCACCTCTTTCATGACGTTTCCTGTGATCCCCAGGGTTTCTTCCTGTTTTGTATGCCGATTGCAATTAGATCAGTATTCTTTCAAAGAATTTTTATATCAATTTTCATATCCAGTTTGCCTGCTGCATTGTGAGTTTCTTAAAGGAGGTATCACGTTAAATTTATTTTTACTGTCCCCACAGTCCAGAAAGGTTGTGTAGCACAGGGGTCCTCAAACTACGGCCCGCGGGCCGCATGCAAATACAAATATTGTATTTGTTCCCGTTTTGTTTTTTTACTTCAAAATAAAATATGTGCAGTGTGCATAGGAATTTGTTCATAGTTTTTTTAAAAAAACTATAGTTCAGCCCTCCAACCATCTGAGGGACAGTGAACTGGCCCCCTGTTTAAAAAGTTTGAGGACCCCTGGTGTAGCACATTCAGTAAATGTTTCAAAGCATGTCTTTTTTCTGGAATATTGAGAAAAGAAAGCATGATCTGAATAGAATAGGAAATGGAAGTATTTTTTCACCAAAATTCTGGAAGACTTGAATATACCATAAAAAAGTCTAGTGATGAAAGCATTATTACTATTAAACCCATGTCTGCAATGGGACAAGGAAGGCATGAGGCTGAAAGAAGAGGGAAATCAGTTAAGAGTTTGTTTTCATGTCTGTAGGAATGAATTTGGACAATTTTTGCTTTTCTGACCCTGAACCATAAACTTCCAAGAAGTCCATCTACACAGGGTTCCCTGATGAGATCAGCATGCAACACACTGGGGTACTTGCCACAGTTGCTTATCTAAGCAGAGGCAGGTAACAACTGGTACAGTTTCTACCCTACAGTTACATGAAAAATGATTTGGCAAAGACCTCAAACTGTTAGTGTAATTGAGCACTAAGTTAGCGGTTGGGTCAACTTCATTCTACTTTCTCTCTGGGAATTGTTTATTGTTCCTCTATTTACAATCTATCACAATCTTCTGAATAGGTAGTAAGTAATAGGTAGGTATACACATACAGTATATGTCACTATATACATGTAGCTGTATTTCATTTATCCCATAGCAAAATAAACTAATTAAAGATGTTTACATATCCAACAGAATTAAAATCAAATAGTTTTAAAATTTAATAGTAGTGTTTCTGCTGTCATTTAAATATTTCTGAGTTGAATGTATATATACAGACAACAAAGGGTCATAGTTGTGTTTTGCAATTTTAACTCACTTATATAGTTTTTTATATTTCTCCCCCCATGGGTTAAACATAGCAAGTGCCTTGCATTTACGTTAACATCTGCAGTTTATATGCTTTCTTCAGAAGTATTTATTAGGATAAAGATTATATTATTTGATCTGAAATTGTCTTGAGATAAAAGAGCACTGCACTCAGTAGTTACATAGTAAATTTTTCTATCTGAATGAATGAATAAAATAAAGAGGACCAAGGTCTGTCATTGGGGATCTAGTGTCCAATAATCACATGGGAGTTTTCTGGCCCACTGCTGAGCCACAATGCTCATGCCATATTGGGGTTGTAGGGGGGAGGTGTCTCTAAGATCCCACCAAGACCAACTGTCTCAGCATTTATAGGTATGTATCTCTGCCAAAGATAATCTCTCCTTACTATTGGCTTGGTGATAATAAGTGCTTCAATTTGAGACAGAAATTCTCCTCTCATAATTGGAGAAAGATATAAAACCAAACTGAGAAGGGAGCAATAATAGCACATCAATTTAATACTATGATAAGTAGAAATAGTAAACAGAATCAGATCTTTCCATAAAGACTTTTTACTTATTTATTTGGATGAGTAACATTAGCAGAAAAAGCAAGAGTGAGAAGGAGTAAACTTAGAAAGAATGAGGAAAGGAGAATTTCCAACTTGAAGAAGGAGAGTGCTATGAAGGAAGACATAAAAAAATGAAATTAAGCTTCATCTATTTAAACCATTTTCTCACAACTGATAATAAAATAATAATGATAAACATAACTGAGTGTTATTATATTTCAAATTCTGTGCTAATCATTTTTTCATAGGGCTATCTGATTTAATTTCCTAAAAGAATCCTGGGAGGCAGGTCATATTGTATTCATTTCACAAATTAATAAATATGTTAATTGACTTGCCCAAGGTTATATAGTTTAAGAAGTGGTACAACTGGGATTGTAACTCAGGTCTGTCTGCTTCCAAATCCATATACTTAACAAACCCAATGCTATGTTTATATAGTGCTTTCTACATAGAAAGTTATATGTGTGGCCTCTCCTACTTTAATTCTTAGTTTAAAGCATAATAACATTTAATGATAGCTGTGACAAGACTGGGCTCAAGACAAAAATTGAGTTTGGTCTTAAAGTTACTAAAGAAAGTAACATTTTACATTTCTGATTTTTGATACCTGAGAATAACCTACCAGATTGTGGGCAAAATGGAGCAGTTTATTGAATTCAATGGATATGCCAGATTGAAAATTTGGTTTGTGATCTGCAACTACTCTACTGGCCAGTTAACTTCAGCAAAAGAAATCAGTGTTTCAAAGGTGCTAGGTAAGCACATTTCTGCCGGGAGCCGGTCCAAGGTCACCTCTCCGAGAAAGGTTGTTTCCCCAGGTAGGGATTTTCCCCTGAAGTTAGGGAGGAAATAAAACCTCTTAACTGCCAGGCGGGTAATTAATCACTTTAACTACGAACTCAGTGTTTCAAAGGTGCTAGGTAAGCACATTTCCTCACCTTGAGAAATGTTCCAGTTAGATTTTACATGTAACATTATCAACCATATTAAACCATATAACATTATCAACCATATTAAATGACCACTAATGAAAACTGCATATTCATCATCATCAACAACATTATTATGCATTATTATGAATGAAGAGTAACCTAGACATTTATTCATTCGGGAAACAGTGACTAAGCTCTACTATTTGCCAGGCACTATTGTAGGTGCTGGGGATTCAGCAGCAACCAACCATGAGAAGCAAGGTTATTTCTTTGGCAGAGCATGAAGTATAAGAGAAAAGAGTGACTCATTATAAAACAAACAAATAACAGAGAAAATATCCAAGGGTTAAAATGGGATGATGTGAAGGGATGCGGGCAGGTGAATAATTTCAGTTGGATGGTCAAAGAGAGCTTCTCTGCTAAGTTGCTTTTTCAGTTGAGGTTTCTATGAGAGAAATCAGCCATGACAAGATCAAAGGGAAAGGCTTTATAACGTATTGCTATCTTTTCAGGTGCTTCTGATACATTTGGTTGATTATCCTGGGCAATAAATTTCCTGTTACCCCATTATCTCCAGCCAAAATTAGTCCCAAATAAAACAAGTTCCCCAGGTGATTCAGATATGCATCAAAGTTTAAGAACATTGCTTAAAGGGCTGAACACTCTCTTTGCCTTTTTGCAATAGACTTGTACCTTGACTTGCAATTGGCATGTAGCTTTATCACATGTCCAATGGAGAGATTATTAAACTTTCAAAATGAACTTGCAAAAAAATCATAAGTTTCAAGTATATTCTTAAAACTTAATAATAAGACAATCACTTAATTTGGGTAATAAACAATCTTATTTGTCTAAAATAAAAAATCTAACATTAGGAGGCTATTTCTTCAAATATCCCATAAAATACAGCTGCCCCACCAAAATGATCTGGGAATTTTACAGTTGTTTTTTTTATTCTCCCAAGATCATTGATTATTAATTGCACATTCATGAGTTCTGAAGAAAGAAAAACTATTAATTTGGCTTTGTGAGGAACCTTATTAAATTGTGAAAGAGAGAGGCTGATAAAAGGAAAAGATTAATACCCATATAGTGCCAAGAGGATGACTAATGCGATTACTTCCTTAGGAAGCTGCAACTCTCAAACTGTTGATTTTTATTTTAAAAGACAAAGCAGGTTTGAAGCTCATGCATTCACTTTTTGCCCAAGAATATTTGAAAATTCTTTTTACTGGAGTTAAAAGCTTTATGCCAGTAATGAAAACTTTTCCTATGCAGCGTTAGATAATGATCATACTTGTGAACAAATTGACTTTAGCCACAATGAATTATACATATGGTCACAAGAAACTAAAATGTTAACACACTTTTTTATGTACTATGAAAATACTAAGCAACCAGAAGTATAAAAACACTAGAGGCCTGGTGCATGAATTCATGCATAGGTGGGGTCCCTCAGCATGACCTGTGGGAATTGGGCTGAAACTGGCAATCCAACTCTGCCTGCTGCTCCTGCCTACTGCTCCTGCTCATCCTGGCCCTGCTGCGCTTGCTGTGGGCTCGTGCCCAGTCAGTCCTGATAGGGAGAAGCTCATGCCACCATAGCGGCACTCACCAGCCATGAATCCTGTGTCTGGTTCCTGTCCAGAGCGGGGTTGGTGGGGAGAGATGTGATTGGCCCTCTGGGTGGGCGGTGGGATGCCCTTGCCGGCCCAGGATCCAGATCCATCCCACTGACACTGATGTTCGCGCTGGTTGTCGGGAGCCACCTGGTAGCCGCTTTTATATCATTTCTTCTTGCAGAGCGTCTAGGGAGGGAAGGCAGCCATGGTGCCTGAGGCCAACTTCCAGGAGGAAGGCAGTGCTGTTGGGATCATGCTGGCGGTGCTGTTCCGTCAGTGCCTGGTCCATTTTCCAGAGATTGGGCCTGCAGGACTACTGAGGGAGTGAGTGGCTGCCACCGGGCTGATGGGCTGCTGGGACAGGTCAGTCAGCTGAGTGGCACTCCCACTGTGGAAGTGCACTGACCACCAGGGGACAGCTCCTGCATTGAGCTTCTGCCTCCTGATGGTCATTGTGTGTCATAGCAACCGGTCGACTTACTTGTTGTTCGGTCGTTCAGTTGCTTAGGCTTTTATATATAGAGACAAGGAATTCATTTATTGCCATTTCTCCATGTTAATAACATCCTAGTAACAAGCATTATGGAGAAAACTGGAAGTAAAATTTACTTTTAAGACTAAGAGAATAGATAAAAGACCTGCTTGAATGAATAAAATAGGCATTTTAAAAATCCTTGTTATCTATAGCTGTAAAACACACCTTCTTAAAACTTAAATGTATTAACAGCTCTCACATTTCTGTGAATTGACTGAGCACAACTCAATGGTCCTTGTGTGGGTCTCACAGGCACTTGCACTCAGACTCAGTTGGGCTGCATGGCTAAGAGGCTCACTCCCATCACTTGCATTTGATGCTGGCTGCTGTCGGGGAGCGCGGGTAAGGTTTCTCCTTGAGATTGGAACTTCTCATATTATGGTAGCTAGGTCCCAAAAGTGTTCCAAGAGAACAAAAGTAGAAGTGTATCACAAATGACCATAATCTTGGGGGTATAAAACAACACTAATTTTTATCTCAGATTTTGTAGGTCAGAAGTCTGGACACAACTTACTTAGCTGGGTCTTTTGCTCAAGATCTCACAGGTTGCAATCAAGGTGTCAGCCAAGACCTCTGATGCCCAAGGTCCTTTTCTATGCTCAATAGTTATTGGTAAAATTCATTTGCTTTTACCTGTAGAATCAATGGAAACTTGCTTTTTCAAGGCCAACAGAGAGTGTGCCTTAGTTCAGGCAAGGTCTGAACACACACACACACACACACACATACACACACACACACACACCAGCTTTATTGAGATACAATTCCCATCTTATACAGTTTACCTATTTAAGGTGTTTACTTTTTTAAATATATTTTTACTGACTTCAGAGAGAGGAAGGGAGAGGGAGAGAGAGATCGTAACATCAATGATGAGAGAGAATCATCAATAGGCTGCCTCCTGCCTGCCCCCTACTGAGAATTGAGCCCGCAACCTGGGCATGTTCCCTGATCTAGGACTGAATCATGACTTCCTATTCAGTGGGTGTATGCTCAACCACTGAGACACACCAGCCAGACTAAGGTGTTTAATGGTTTTTAATAGTATGCTCTTAGAGTTGTTCAACTGTCACAACAATCTAAGTTAGAACATTTTTGTCATCCCCAAAGAAGCTTTGTGCCCATTAGCAGTTACTCTCCATTCCACCTCCATCTCTAGCCCTCATTAACCATCTGTGTGTCAGGGGATGGCACAGAATGAAGGAAGGCCCTGGCAGCCGGGGAAGAGAGGTCCCAGCTGGCAGCCAGCAGCCAGGGAAGAGAGGCCCTGGCCTGGAGCCGGAAAGCCCCAATAGGCCCTGATTGCCAGCCAGGCCTAGGGACCCTACCTGTGCAGGAATTTCATACATCAGGCCTCTAGTTAATCTATTTTCGTCTGTAGATTTTCCTGTTCTGGCCATATTAATGGAATCATCCAATATGTCAGATTTTGTGACTGGCTTCTTTAACTTAGCATAAAGTTTTCAAGGTTCATCCATGCTATATCTTATTAATACTTTATTCATTTGTATTACTAAATGCTATTCTGTTTTATAAATAAATTTTATTTACCTGTTTTTCAACTGATGAAAATTTAGGTTGCTTCTACTTTGAAAATATTGTTAATAATGCTGCTTAGTACACTCATGTAGAAGTTTTTGTGTGGATATATATTTACATTTATCTTGATTTTATATCTAAGGGTAAAATTTCTAGGTCATATGGACACTCAATGTTGAACAGTTTGAGAAACTGCTAAACATTTTCCAAAGTTGATTTATTATTTTACATTCTCACTAGCAATATATAAGGACCCATATTTTTCCTTATCCTTTCAACACTTGTCATGGTCTATCTTTTTTATTATAACCCTTCTAGTGAGTTTGTGTAGTTTCTCAATGTAGTTTTATCTCATTGTAGTTTTAATTTCCCTAATGACTATTGAGGCTGAGCTTTTGCCCATTGTTTTAGTAGATTATTTATATTTTTATTATTAAGTTATAAGTGTTCATTATATACTATGGACACAAATCCTTTACTAGATATACAATTTACCAATATTTTTCCCAGGCTGTGTGTTGACTTTTAACTTTCATGGTTATGTTCTCTGAATTACAAAAGTTTTTAAGTTTGATGAAGTATAATTTGTCTGTTTTGTCTTTTGCCACTTGTGCTTTTGAAATTTTATCTAAGAAACTTTAGCATAACTCAAATTCATGGAAATCTACTCTTATGTTTTCTACGTGTTTTATGCATAATGCTTACATTTAGGCTTATTACCCATTTTGAGTTCAATTTTATATGTGGTGTGTAAAGGGGTCCAACTTTATTATTTTGTATGGATATCCAGGTGTCTCAGCACCATTTGCTGGAAAAACTGAGCCTTCTATTAAAGGGCTCACCTAGTTAAGACTGACCTAATAAGGGTAACCTCTCTTCAATTAACTCAAAGCAACTTGTTAGGGAATTAAGTGTATCTGAAAAGCCATTCACCTTTGCCACATAAGGTAACATATTTTTCACTAGAAAAATGGTTTATAGCTTTCTCTTGACCCCTTCTAATGTCTTCTTGGGTACCAGCAGATATCGTTTCTTAATTTGAACATGGAAAATATATTCATGGTCACTGTCCTAGTTAAAATTCAAGATCCTAGTGTCAAATAGGCAGTTAATTAGTTATTAATGAAGGGGACAAACTAAGACCAATTAAGTCCGGAAATAGCAGTTTCACAGTTACCTCAAGGAGTAACCAGATCTTTCTGGACAACATCCTACCTAGTCAACTAGGCAGGAAAGACAACCTTATACCCACCCTAGGGGGAAAGGGGTAACCAGCATTGTTCTGCTGGATTATTGGGGAGAAGGGAAAAAATGGCAAGGTAAAATTTATTTCACTGAGTGCATGCACACTAGAAGCCAAATGATGAAGCAATATTGAGAGGCATGTGTAGTAGGAGCCAAAATGGTGAACTTAAAATGGGGAAGGCACTAGCTTGAAAATTAGAAGCCAATACCTCTGATGAACACTTGCCAAAATCCTCAACAAAATCCTAGCAAATCGAATTCAGCTTTACATTAGAAATATCAGACACCATGACCAAGTGGCATTTATTCTGGGGATGTAAGGCTGGTATAATATTCATGAATCAATAAACGTGAGACATCACATAGACAAATTGAGAGACAAAAATCACATAGTCATATCAATTGATGCAGAAAAAGCATTTGAGAAAATTCAACATTCTTTCTTGATAAAAAC